CACCCATAAGTAAAAAGTAAATCCGATCGAGAGCAAGTTCACTGACTGCCGTTTTGCACTCATCTACAGCCCCTTGCAGTCTCAGGCCGCTCGCGTCGCGAGGCTGAACAGGACCTGGGGCTTCCCCTGCGGCTGCTCCCTGTGCCAGCAGGTGGAGCACGTGGCCCGGGAGTCGGACAACCGGCTGAAGCAGATCATGGAGCTCCGCGAGGAGTTCCACGACTACACGACGGCGTCCCGGGCGACGCCGCAGATGGGCGAGCTCATAGTGTCGCTCTACGACCAGGAGCGCCTGGACCTGCTCAAGTACGAGGCGCACACGTACGCGGCCATCGAGTGGAACGGCGTCGGCGAGCCGTGGCTCGCCACCAAGCACGCGCGCCTGGCCGTCGAGCACGGCCTGACCAGCGTCGGCCCCGGCGACAACGACGTGGCCGAGATGCAGGCGCTCGTCAAGGATCCCTTCAAGCACTGGAGCTGGATGCTCCGCACCAGCAAGCGCATGAGCTGGGGCAAGACGAAGGGGGATAAAACTACCTAGACGCTCATGCGCATCAGTGTGTTGTATCAGTGCGTTGTTTTTCTTTTGCATAAGGCTCAAGGCGCTCAGGTCGCATGCAGCTCTTTCCAGGATAGTTTGGCGTTGGGGTTCCACGTAGTTCCTTTTAGAAGCGCTTTTCATTGCTCATGAAGCCAACCAAATAAAAATCGTCGCTGTTCGCCTCTCGCGTCCATTCCTGGCTTTGCTTCCGAATGTCTGGTTCAACGATGGAATCAACTCGCACCCTGCTCGGAAATGGAACACACGCAGTGGGGCTTCCATGCCTGTTAGATCGCTTCTGGCCCCCGGGGGCTTCTTGGCGCTAACTGCGGGGTTGTGATGGCTAGCTCCCACAGCCAACGGCTGGCTTGGCTCGAGTCTTGGGCTTCACGTTCCTGGCATTGCACAGCTTTCCGTTCCTGGCCGAGCATGCGTCACCAATGCCTAGGGTTCGACCTAGCTTTCATGCCACTTCCACCCAGCCGTGGTGCGGCAGAACTGCGTATCATCGCCAACGCTAAACGAATAGACGAACCCACCCAAGACCCCAACGACCTTTCTTCTCCCCTGCAACGCCACCCGCCACCCTTCCAGCAATATCACGCGCGCGCCTAAACACCATCGCCCCATCCGCTCTCGCTTTCCCATTAAGCCCCCCTCCCCCGGCCGCGCAACCGCCACCGCACAACCTCCGCCCCCATCATGGCAGCGACCGAGGCGACCCCGACGGCGGACACCGGGAAGGCCATATCGGCCCTGCTCGAGTCCCGCCCCCCGGCAACCGACAACTTCACCTACCTCACCATCGTCGAAAAGTTCCTCTGCCCCGAGGTGCTGCCCACGCTCAACGAGGTGCTCCAGGACGCCGCCCTCACCCAGGAGGTCGGCTGGGACCTCGTGCACAACCTCGTCCCCATCCCGGGGAGCGAGCCGTGCCTCGAGACCATCGCCCGCCTGGGCAACCCGCGCGAGGTCATCGTCAAGTGCCTCGAGGTGCTCGAGGGCTACCCCGGAGACGCGGACCGCGACGGTGCCGAAGAGGAGGCGGCCGAACATCCGGTCGAGGGGGAGGAGGAGCAGGAGGAGGAGGTAGTAGAGGAGGGGCAGCGCCGCAAGGACGATGACGCCACCGTCAGCAGGTTCATCCGCCTGTTGGGCATGCTCGCCATCCTGCACCGGCGCATCAGGACAAAGTACCCGTCGCGTTTCCTGGCCTCGACCCTCGTCACGGTCCGGCGTGCCTACCGCCCGGGCCACCAGCTCATGACGGCCGCGGCCGTCAACCTGGTGCAGTCGCTGTCGGGCCACCGCCGGCCGCCCCTGCCGAGCCGCAAGAGCAGCGTCAACGTTGCGAACCCCGACGCCGACGGCGACACCTCCAAGAACGCCCCCGACCCCGAGGCCGAGCAGGTCTGCGGGCCCGACGAGCTCGACATCCAGGAGCGCCTCCTGCTGCCCTTTGTCCTGAGCGTCCTCGAGGCCTACGTCAACGCGCGCCCGCCCTCGTGGGCCGAGCGCCTGGTCGAGTCGTACGCGCCCCAGAGGATTGTCCTGGGCAAGAGGTCGGCGCTGCAGGCCTTCAAGGAGGAGCAGGACCTGCTGGCCAGGGATACCGTAGTCGGTCAGCTCGCGGTGAGTGCCTTTTAGTGCCTAGCCCGGCATCTGTCGTGCTATTCAATGTTTGCTGACTGGCGCCATGTTATCTCGTACCTCAGGCCCTATGTCGAGACCTCGGTCTCGAGACCGACTCGCCATCATTCATTTCGACCGTGTGCAAGGAGCCCATCTACAGGCGAACACTGCCAGACGCAGATGACCTGAAGGGTGCCCAAGACATCAACCTCCCGACAGGAGGTGCCGTCTGCCTGCTCGCCTATTCATTATTCTCGTCGACCGTCTTTGGCGCTAACGTCGCCAAGCCTGACATCCGCGTCTTCCCCGACCATTTCGCCCTGCTGCAGCGTTACATCGAGCACGACGCCCACGCTCAAATCCAAGCCACTCCAGTCACCATCGAGGCCATTGTCGCCGTGGGGCTGTGGCTGCAGCACAACGGCCGGATATTGCCAGAGGCACCCGCGCCGTCCGATGGCGAGTCTACCACATCCGCTTTCATGCCCTACCACCACCTCCTCACCCTCTGCTCCGTGTACCACCCGTCGCTCGGCGTACGCAACGCAGCGTCGACGCTCGCGGGCCAGGTCCTCCACGCGGACCCGGATGGCGAGGACCGGCTCCATATCCTGGAGGACCTACTCGAGAACTGCATGTTTTCCAATCTCAAGGCGTGCGCCGTGACCTGGCTTAGGGAGGAGCTCACGGCGGGGCTGGCGGCGGCGGCGGCGGCGGCGGCGACAGCCTCAAAAAGCAGCACCAGCAGGAGTCCATTCGCGGGTCCCGAGGCCGTCGAGCAGCTGCAGTACCTCGTGTTCCCGGACATGCAGTTCGCGCGCGAGATGGACCGGGACAGCTTCGTCGAGTACTTCCTCCAGAACGCGCCCTTCATCCTGCAGTCGGTCAACTTTGCCATCCTGCTGTTCCGCTCCTCGGACGACCACTACGGCCGCCTCGCGCCCCCCGGCATGCGCGCCGCCGTCGAGGAGCGGTACGTCCGGCCGCTGCTGGCGGCCGTGGCCTCGTTCGAGGAGGGCGGCAGCGGCGACGGAAAGGCGCCCGACGGCGATGACCACGCGGCCGCGCACGTGGCCATGGAGGTCAGCATCTTGGGCGCGAGTCTGAGGAGGCTCACGGCGCCATGATGGGCTCGGCGCTGATGGCGGCGTGGCGGTATATGCTTTTTTTTGTTCTTGTTTCGGCGTCACGGTCATGACCGCCTTCTGTGAGGTCTCTCTGGAAGATGACAGGGACCGGCTGGCGGTGCTTGGGTCAGCCCAAGGGCACCGCGGTCATGGGATATTAAACTACCTCAGCGCAAAAGACTTACAGGCTCCTCGCTTCGATGTCTATAGGTGTCGGAGCTCACAAACTACAAGCTCCCTTCCTCTAGAACCCCTATTTTTCCATGTGTTTCCCATGTGTTGGATGCATCGGGATCGTATGCAGCATGCTCTTGTTGCTACTACCTGCCTACGTACCTACCGGGCATCTATCCACCTAGATGCTCTCCCCAACCCCTTTCCCATCAAATCAGCATCAGCAGCCAGCCCTGAGCTGCAGGTGGCACCAGGGTGGTCAGTGGTCCGGGGGCGGGGAGGAGAGCAACAAGTATTCCTTCTTTGCATCAAATGCTTTCTGCTATCGTGAAGGAGCCGTCGTCCTTGCGTTGGAGGTAGGCCCTGGAATTTATCCACGACTTGCATCTTGGCCTGCTCCTCCGGGATCAACCCACCGATCCCATTTCTGCTCCCCACGTGATGGAGCCAAATCCTGGCGCCGCCATCGTCCTCGCCTCGCTTCAGGTGAAGCACGTACAGCGCCTTCAGGATGTAGTAGTTGAATGATCCGGATGGAGATGTTGCCGTCCGGATCCGAGCCCCTCCACCGGTCGTCCATGTCCTTGGGCGCGAAGCCGGCCGTGAGCTTCTCGAAATCGGCGTCGCTGATGCCCAGATCCCACGGTGCTGTCCCGGGTTCCTGCATGGGTTCCTGCATGGGATGTCTGGTATGTTCGTTTATTTGTTGGATGACCGAACCGCAAATGAATTGGCGCGGCGAGTAGCAAGCACGGCGCGCCCGCTAATCGGCAGCCAGACCAGATCCGGGACTGATGCAAGGAACCGAAGGTAATTGGAAATGCAAAGGGTTGTTGAGAAGATGCAGCCGATTTGGCATGCTGCTCCCCGTCGATGCGCCAGTACGAATGCGCGTATTTAACGCGAGGAAGTACCAATACGACTAATACGAGGCTGGGCTGAATTATTGACGCAAGAGCCTCCATGGCAGCTGCAAGTCCCACCACTCACTGTCAGGGGCTGAGCATGTGGGCGCTGAGCCTCTCGGTCTGCACCGAGGGCGAGGCTGTGAGATTGTAGCATACGATGCGCACAGTTTTCAGAGATGGGTGTAGGATTGGAAGGATCCAAGCCCGCCTTGTATTTACATGTAGGTCTACGCCCGACATGTTTTGGTAGCAGCTTGGACGTGATATAAACGCGCACACATCCACGTTGTGAAATTGCATTCGAAAAAGAAAAAAACATCATCTTTACGCCTATCACAGAGAATATCCAATAGAAATTCAACAACCACCACCATGTCATCCCCAACCATAACCACCGCCAAAGCCGCACCCCCTGCCGACATCCTCCCACGCGCCTCCTTCGCCGCCATCGCCTTCTACGCGTCGGACAAGCTGCGCTTCTTCCAGTTCCCCGAGCCCGTGTGCCGCGAGGGGGCCGCCCAGGTCATCCGGGCATCGTGGCCCGACGGCATCCAGGGCGAGACCTACCACGTCGGCACGGCGGCCTACGAGTACAAGCTGGGCGGGCGGCCCTTTGGCAGCACGGGCGAGGCCGCCGGGCTCGGCGCCCGCGTGCTGGTCCGCAACCTGCTGGCCTACCTGCACTCGCTGGGCTGGCTGCTCGACGCGTCGCTGTCGCAGGCCCGCGACGTGGCCAGCAAGGACACCCTCATCTTCCGGCAGCCCAGGGGCGGCGAGCCGGAGCCGGAGCCGGAGCCGCCGGCGGGCCCGCAGCCGAGGTGGATGGCCATCGCGCTGACCAGCGGCGACCGCCTGCGCTTCCTTGGGGGCTGCGGCGACGGCGATGGCGAGGGGACCATGATCGGGACCATGAGACGCGAGCTGCAGGGGCTCGGCCTGCTGGCGCGCGGGCAGAGGGAGACGGACCCGGGGCTCACGGCGGGCTCGGTCGAGGCCGGGTACGAGTTCAAGCTGAAGCGGTCCATGTGGAGAGCCGAGTTTGGGGAGAATGTGCTCCAGGCGCGGGTCCTAACTCTGCGGGTTGCCGAGGTTCTCGACAGCTTTGGGTGAGTTTCTACTCTTCTTTTTTTTTCTGTCCTTCCGTCCCAGCCGACGTATCGCGCAGATGGCTAACCCAAACATAATAGATGGAGATCATACGCCACCGTCCGGCAACGGGAGGGCGTTGAGAGCTTCATCAAGACGGACACATGGTACTTTATCAACACTGGAGAGTGAACGCCGGAGAGTGAACACTGGAGAGTGAAGCAGGAAGATCCGGGCGCACGCATAGATGACTTGATGAGTGTATTTCCAATTCTGCTTTCGTACACCCCTGATTCCAAACTACCACCCCTCAACCTACGTCCGCTAGTGGCGCTTTCCCTTTTCCCTTTGGGTTGGTCACATATGATTGCGGAGTTCCTGTGATTGCCTTCCAGGACTTCCGACCCTATTGAACATGATTGGGGAAGGGGCGGAAATGGATCGAGTGTTGGACCCATGGTGTCATGAAGGGCAGGAGACAAGGTATGAAGAGCGAACAGGGCGCTGCTTCCGGGAGTACAGGTGGTTGATACCTCGGCCATGAGAGCCGGGGACGGAAGGGGCGAGAAACAGCCGGCGATGAAAGGCAAGCCTGCCTTTCTGGTATATTGAGCAGTAGCACATGTCGACGTCGTATAGCCAAAGCGTCTCAGAAGGTGCGTCCGAGAGACGACCAGAGCAAGAGTGGTGACCGAAGACATCATGCATTGCAGCAGGAACAGATCTTTAGCACGGTGGATGCGCAGCGCACGCCTGCCATGACCCACCACCACGAGCAGCCCAGGCACCTTCCCAGGCACCTTCCTCCTGCCCCAGATCGTGTAGATGTTGGGCCACGGGGCAGCTCCTGCCGTTCAAGAGAACGCTCAACGGTTGAATCATGGCAGCAACCCAAACTTGCCGACTCTATTTAATCCTGTCTCCCCTCTGGCCTCCCGGTCCTCGTCTTGATTCCCGACACAACATCAGCACATCATCTTTGGACGCTTCTTCTACCAACATCACCAACATCACCAACAGGCTTCACATTCTTGCTTGCTCGCTTTGCTCTTATCCGTTCTTCCGTGCCAACACCCACATCCCACAATACCACTTTTCCAGTTCTCTTCGGGAGCAATCACCAGCCGCAACAATGAAGTCTCAGGCTCTTTTCTCGTCTGTCGTCGCTCTGGCCGGCACGTCCGCCATTGCTCAGCCCCTGACGGGCATGCCTCCCCCTGCGGCTGCCCCGCCTCGCGACAAGGTCTTCACCAAGTCTGAGCCTTTCAACATTGTCGTGTCGGAGAGCTCCAACTCCACGGTCGTCGGGTGGATCCTCGGCGCTTGTCACGCCGGTGCTGGTATCGAGGGCCTCTGCGTCTCCAACGACAGCCCATCGCCTCCCAGCACCACCTTCACCCACAACACCACGGGCGACTCGGAGCCCATCGCCGGCCCGCTCATCTGGGAGCTGCCGACCAAGCTCAACGGCATGCCGACAACGCTGCCATCATCCATGTCACTGAGCTACGTTGCGTGGTCTGACGTGGCCATCCCCATGTTCAAGCCCGGCTACTCCGACACCCCCATCGGCTTCGATGAGGACGACAAGATGTTCCTGGTCGCCTATGGTGACGATGGCGTCCACGAGCCCGACGATCAGACCAAGGCGATTCGCGTGGATGAGGCTCGCAAGATGTACAACTGGTACGTAGTCGGCCTGTCCTTTGCTCTCGTGCTCCTTTCTCTCATGTCCATTGCCAATGCTTGACACGTGTGGCTGACCAAGGCTCAACAACAACTCAACAGGTATGTCTGCTGGACTTACATCGGCAGCTACTACTACCACGCCCTCACGTGGTCGACCTCGCACCCCCCGCAGAACCCGACCTGCAATGCCGCGAACGTCACTCGCAAATTCCTTGAACCCTCGCTGGAGCCCGAGGAGTCGGAGGAGTCCTTTCTCCATGCCAAGCCCGAGCCTCTGGAGGACAACGACCTGGTCGAGCCTTCAGAGGTGGTCCAGGAGTCTGATGAGGCGGCCGACGCGGCCAAGTCCACTGAGGCTGAGGAAGACAAGGCGGCTGAGGAGGACAAGAAGACTGTGGCGACCGAGGACAAGGAGACTGAGACGGCCGAGGAGAATTGAGCAAGGATGATCAGCACAGAAGGGTTGAGTCGCAGCCCTGCTTCCAGGCAGCGGAGACTTTTGTTCTGAGATGCAAGGTAACGAACGACAGGCGTGGGAGGACTGGTCCTGGTAATAAATGGACAGGGAATTAATTGTTTTGGAGGCACTGCATTAGTAGCAGTATACGAGTGAAATCCACTTTTGTTTTCTTTTCCTACTTGTCCCCCTAACTACCCCTCACTCATGTCAATGGCGTGTTGCCTTGCCTGCAGCACGCCGCCCGGATTGGCGAGGAAGAGACTGCCAGCGCACCCATTTCACGGCATCAGTCGTCAGGTGGGAATTGAGGGGCCAGGCGCGAATGCACAGGCTAAGGGCCAGAGTGCCCTGCCCAACGGCACGCAGCTGGCCCCAGCGCGGAGCCAATCAAGTGGCGCCGGGCAACGAACGAGGTTACGTGGATCCGCGCTTGACAAGCGCGAGGGCGGATACCCAACCAGGGGCAGCCCCAGCCAAAGCCGTCCACTAAAGAGGCTGGGGCTGGTTCCCCCACCAACGGCAGCGAGGAGCTCTGGGCCAGCCGTCAAAGTGACCAACTCAACTAGAGCATTTTCTCCGCAAGGGTCTTTTTTTTTCTTGTCCGTCATACTGGCGGTCTGCAGAGTCGATTATATCGCCCGCATACAGCGTTCTGCCATCCTTTGTCTGCGTTTTCTCGGGCGGTGTCAACGATTGAGAGTTGCAGGTTGCATCCACAGGCGCTCGAGACAAGGTCGATTTTCTATTTGGCAATTCGGCAGGCCGTCCAGGTAAACAATAACGTCACCTGGGGCGGCAGGCAGGCAAGCAACGAGGCAGGCAACGAGGCAAAACATCGAGCAGCAACGCAGCCCGCCCGCAGCCACCCGAACTGCAGCTGCCGTTGGGCCGCCAAAACCCAAACAGAAACAGAAACAAACCCCGGGCCGCAGCAACGGAGAGCCAGACGACCAAGGCATTGTTCTCTGCCTCCTCCCCGCACTAGGCCCTGTGTACTTTTTTTGCAGTCTCTCCCACACATTCCACCCGTCTGCCCACCAGAGAGCTTCGATCGATCGATACATTCCGCCCCCCCGACAAAGACGACTCTGCTACTACATCGGCCCTCCACACAAAGGCCGGTTCCACACTCCTCAAAGACGGGGTTCAGCCCCTTGATCCTGCGCCTGAGCTGCCGTAAACCGCGGCTCTCGCGCCACCATGGCGCCGGCAGAGCTCTCTCCGCCGGGGACGGCGACGTACGCGTCGGACCGCCTGAACGTCGGGGACGGCACGTGGGACTATGAGAAGAACACGTTCCTGCTCCCGCCGCTGGTGCCGCTGAACTTTGACATGATGCAGTACAATGGTGAGAGCGCATTGCTGCCCGAGGCTAGCGTACATACAGCCTGCTGACCACAAGCCTCCAGGGATGGGAAACCGCTTCTCCACAATGCCGCAGTACCACACGCTCGTCATGGGCCACGGGATCCTGGCCACCATGGCCTTCTTGTTCCTCATCCCGGCCGCCGTCATGACTGCCCGATTCTACACTGCGCCTTCGGGCTACGCCATCCGCTACCACGCCTATCTCAACGTGGTGGCCGTTGGGCTTGCCACTGTTTCCTTCATCCTCGGCTGGTTCGCCGTCGGGCCCAACCGCAGCCTGACCAATCCCCACCATGGCATCGGCGTGGCCATTTATACCTTGCTGATGCTGCAGGCCATTGGCGGCCGCTTCATCCGGAACATCCGGAAGGCTCGATCGTTTCGTATCACCATTCATCAGTGGAATGGTCGCGCCGTCGCTCTTCTGGGAATTGTGCAGGTTCCGCTCGGGCTCACCCTCTACGGCTCGCCCAAGTACACCTTCATCCTCTACGCCGTCTGGGTGGGGCTACTCGTGTTGCTCTACTTCATCCTCAACTACCGCCACGCCGGCCAGCGGGAGGAGTACTACAGTGGTGCCCGGTCAGAGGCTGGCCGGAGCCGTGTAACCCGCACCGACATTACCGAAACGGATTATACCGAGAATACGGAGCGGACGGATCGTACGGGACGTGGGGATTCCGGTGGCGGTGGTCTCAAGTGGCTCGGTCCTCTGGCGGCCGGTGCTGGCGCAATGGCCTTTTGGAAACGCAAGAAGCGGGAGCGGTCTATGAGCAGGAATCGGTCCCGGTCTAGGTCGCGCATGCGAAGCCGCAGCGGAGGCCCTTCAGAGGTCGTTGCCTCGAGGCGTGGATCACCGCCCAGCACCTACCTGGACTATGACGAGGAAAAGCGCTCGAGCAGGGCCAACAACAAAAACCCCAGCAAGAAGGAAGAAGAAAAGGGGGGCGGCTTCATGAAGAAGATGGCCGGCCTCACGGCCATGTTTGGGGCCGGCGCACTGGGAGCCAAGTTTGCAAAGAAAAAGGATGACACCAGAGACAGGCGCGACGAAACGGCGTACTCGGCAGTCTCGACGGAAACACCAAGCCGCTACGACGACCGGCGACGCGGCTCGAGGAGAGGAGGCGGCACCGTCGTCAGCGACTACACGGATGCGACAACCGATGTCACTGCCCGGCCCAGGTCTCCACTCCTGCCAGGCCCCGGCGGCAACCACCCCGCCACTGCTGCGGCGGCCATGAGCGCGGCTGCCGGACGCCCAGGGGCGTCCAACGGAAGGCCCGTCACGCCACCCCAGTCACACCGAAGGAACTACTCACGCCCCGAAGCCGACAGCCTGGTATACTCGGACTACTCCTCGTTCCGCGACGACAGCCCCTCGAGGCGGAGCGCACCACCGCGGCGCAAGAGCGGCGGCGTGACCACGGCGGATGCAGCAGGCGGCGGCATTATGGCAGGACTGGGCCTCGGCTGGCTTGCTGGCAAGTTCAAGGGCAAAGGAAAGGAGGAAGAGCGGCCAAAGTACGACGACGAGGAGAGCCGGGTGGGCGACCGGTCCCGGCGGTACACCAACGACGACTCCCCAAGCAGACGCAACTCGCGGCGGGCCCCGGCCAGGCCGGCACCCTCGGCGCTCTCCGAGGTGACCAGCATGACGGAATCGTCGGTCGAGCCGAGGCCAACGACGGGGTACGGGGCGGCGCCAGGAGGCTCGCGCAATGGTCAGCCGACCATGACGCCTGCAACAGGCGGGCCAAGGAGATCCATGTCGCGCTCGAGACGCGAAGGCCCGTACGCCTCGGGGCACGAGTCTGCCGATGACGCGTACCAATCAGCGAGCGGAGGCCCGGGCAGGAGGAACTCGCGGCGACGTCGGGAGAGCGAGGCGGCCGCGGCCGATGCCGTGGCAAGCGCGAGCCGGTTGGCATCCCACGAGGCGCGGCGCTATGGCGGCGGATCGCAGGCCTCGACCAGCATCAAAGTCAAGGTGGACCCCGACCGTCACAACGTGACGCTCCGGCGCATCCCGCCCGGGGAGGCGGCGCAGGCAGCCTCGTCGCGCAGCAGGCGGCAGCGGACCGACTCCATCAGCAGCAATTCGGTCAGCGAGCTGTCGCCCAACAGCCGGCAAACCTACCGGCGCGACTCGAGCATGCGCAGGGCCGAGGAGGCCGCCGAGCGGGCCGTCGATGTCAACAACCCCAGCGCGCCGCTTCCTACGCCCAACCCGCGCTTCGCGGGTGGTAGGTCCCGACCGGCGCCCGGCCCCAGCGGCCAGGACGGCGGCTACTACGGGAACAACCCCCCGCCACCGCCCGGGCCGCCCCCGCCAGCCTACGGCGCAGGACAGCCCCCCGTTCAGGCACCGGGAGGACCGCCACCTCCCCCGCCGCCCGGCGGCATGCCGCCTGGGCCGCCCAGGACCCCGGTCGGCCTCCTGTCGGTGGGGGGCCAGACCGTCACCAGTCTCCATAGTCACGGGACCTGGAGCGGCATGAGTCCGTCGTCGATCGGACCGCCCGAAAGCCAAGCCGAGCCCGTGGCGCCGTCGGAGTCGGCGGCGGCCGACAGGAGGAGGCGGAGGAGAGAGGAGAGGAGCGGTGCGAGGCCGTCGGACACCAGCACGGTCGACTTCAACTGAAGCCCTCGCGTGAAGGCCAACCAACCAACACTTTCTCTTCTTGTCTGTCCTTCCACTGTTATTGCCACGACATGACACACATACACACACACACACACAAACACATCGCACGGCGTTCTGCATTGGAGGCATCGCTGATTGGCGTCTTGGCCAAATCCCCTTGGCTTCCTGGCGAATATTATCTGTGGGAGAACACTGAACCCCAGCTGGCTTTGCGTCGGGTGAGGTACCAGGGTACCGGTCCTGATTTGGTATATAGATTGGATGTCTCTTCTTC